CAAAAACCTGTCTAAGTCGTTGGAAAATTCTGGTGATGATTGTCATGTATGCAGCGCGGAACTGACGGATTCTTAAACTGTACACAATGAAATTCATGGAAGAGTTGGCCATCAACAGAGTTGTGACCCAGCAGATTTTCGCTTCATATTGACAGAGAATGCCAACACGATGCACGAAGCTGATGCCGATAAAAGGGAACCAGCATACAGCAAACAACACGATGACAATTGCAATTGTACCAGACATGCGATTCTCCTTGGCTCTTTCACTTGCTGCAGACGGTGACATTACTGCAATTTGATGAGAACATTTCACCTTGTAGAGGATTATCGCATATGAGCAAATCATGACAACCTCACACATCATGATAATGGACTGAATGACCGCGACTACCAGTTTGTATGCAACAAATGAACTTCCGGTTAGTACAATAGCAGTACCCCAACAAATGGCCAACACTATTTTGTTCCATTTCTTCATGATTTCGTGGTGATGATGAGGTTTGACCACTGAAATTACTCGGTCAATGCTGACGGCTGCCAGATGACATGCCGAGCTAATACAAGAGAATGCACCTGTAGTAAATTGGGTATACCCAAGGAGAGGATTGCATTTGCCCTCAAATGTTGCCAGAGCTGCTCCAGTAGTGAACAAGGGCTGTACTACCATGGTCACTACCAAATCTGCTACAGCTAAACTCAAGAGAAGATTATTGGACGGTCTTTGACGAAGTTGAGGTGTTTTCAAAACAGCAAAKATTATCAGAAAGTTCCCAAATGTTCCAATAAAGGAAAGAATTACGTTAATGGCGAACATGGGCGTTGCTTGTGCCTTGTMGATTGTTGCCGTAGTTGTAAGAGGAAAAGAACTGCTATAAGTTGCCATAGCCTTTGTAATTCTCAACTTGCAAGACGCAATGTGATACGARCTACATAAATATTATTCCATAACGTACCATGTAATATATAATTGAACGTCTTGTGCAATTTTACCCCCGAAGTAGTAATTATCGATTGATTGATGGCACTAAACTTAAAGATGTCGCGTTGTTTATATAGGTTTATTTAGGATTGATGCACTAGATTTTGAATTGGGAAAAAGCCAGGACAGGTTTTTAATTTTGAATTCAAGATCCACTTCAGATTATCAAGGCCTTTTTCTGAGTTTTTGAGTTTATCCACTTTTACCTCTTACCTGTATTATTCATGAAACTGCAACTGTCCGAGTTTGAAATTTTTCACATGCAATCTCGGTCTAAATTGCCTTAGACGATTTGCGAATTTCGCCTTCGTTGTCACCCACTAAAGAATCAAGACGAGGCATCGTGCTTAAAGCTCTCTCTCTAGTGAAAAACTATTGTCTTTTTACAAAATAAATAATAAATAATAATTCTTTATTCCATAAATCCATAAATCCCAAAAAAATGTACATTAGAACATAAAATTTAACTTTAACAAACAAGGTATACTAGCTGACTAAGTTATTGTACAGATTTAGAACATTAAAACAATACTTAGCAGTTACAAATGAGTGAGAATTAAGCACGGCGCCTCGTCTTGATGCCTTTGTGTGTGGTCACTTTAGTGAAATTCGCAAATGGACTCTGTTCTTGAATTAAATTTTGGAAGTCAAATTTCTACATTTTTTAAAAATGGTACSTATGAAAATGATTTTTTTCGACCTTTCCAAAGGTCGATCCCAAAATGATTCTTCGCTTCTCTTACCGTTGACCAAGCATATTTTTACAAATCCTTACACAGCATTGTTGTACGTATATTTAAAGAAATATAGATTTCTCACAACAGAAGCTTCTTTTATCCTAATATTTCTTTTGTACCACAAAAGCATCTTACAAAAACCTGTCTAAGTCGTTGGAAAATTCTGGTGATGATTGTCATGTATGCAGCKCGGAACTGACGGATTCTTAAACTGTACACAATGAAATTCATGGAAGAGTTGGCCATCAACAGAGTTGTGACCCAGCAGATTTTCGCTTCATATTGACAGAGAATGCCAACACGATGCACGAAGCTGATGCCGATAAAAGGGAACCAGCATACAGCAAACAACACGATGACAATTGCAATTGTRCCAGACAWKCGATTCTCCTTGGCTCTTTCACTTGCTGCAGACGGTGACATTGAAGTTGTTACTGCAATTTGATGTGAACGCTTCACCTTGTAGAGGATTACCCCATATGAGCAAATCATGACAACCTCACACATCATGATAATGGACTGCATGACCGCGACTACCAGTTTGTATGCAACAAATGAACTTCCGGTTAGTACAATAGCAGTACCCCAACAAATGGCCAACACTATTTTGTTCCATTTCCTCATGATTTCGCCGTGATGATGAGGTTTGACAACTGAAATTACTCGGTCAATGCTGACGGCTACCAGATGAAATGCCGAGCTAATACAAGTAAATGCACCTGCATATATATGTGTATACCAAAGGAGACGACTGCATCTGCCCTCAAATGTTGCCAGAGCTGTTCCAGTAGTGAACAAGGGCTGTACTACCATGGTCACTACCAAATCTGCTACAGCCAAACTCAATAGAAGATGATTGGACGGTCTTTGACGAAGCTGAGGTATTTTCAAGACGGCAAAGATTATCAGAAAGTTGCCAAATGTTCCAGTGAAGGCAARAAAAGCGTTAATGACGATCAAGACCGTGGATTGTGCATTATCAATTTTATACGTAATTTCAGTAGTTGTTTCCGCAGTTGTGAGCAGCTATAAGCTGCCATGTACGTCTTGTGCAATTTCATCCCCCAAGTAGTAATTATTGATTGATTGATTGATTGATAACACTAAACTTACAGATGTCATGTTGTTTATTTAGGTATAATATTAATGCAGGTTTTGAATTTCTGGGAAAAAGCCAGGACAGGTTTTAAATTTTGAATTCAAGATCTACTTCAGATTATCAAGACGTTTTTCCGAGTATTTGAATTATCCACTTACCTGTTTTATTCATGTGACTGCAAATATCCGAGTTTGAAATTTTTCACACGCAAACTTGACTTAGCCGACTTGCCTCAGTTTTTGTGACATACAAAACAATCAAGACGAGAACAACTATTGTCTTTTTATAAATGAGTGAGAATTATACGATGCGCSTCGTTTTGATGACTTTGTGTGTGGTCGCAAATGRTGAAACTCRCAAATAAACTATTTTCTTGAATTAAATTTTGGAAGTCAAATTTTCTACATATTTTAAAAATCGTATTTATGAAAATGATTTTTTCGACCTTTCCGATACTCGATCTCTCAATAATTCAGGAGGAGGCGACGAGGTCTGTTCTAAATAATCGTTTTTATACATTTTWTCAAGCAACTGTGGTGACCTTCCAGTCTGGGAAAAACTCTCCCTTCGGGGCGATAAAGCACTCAAGTATTTAAAAGATATTTATGATTTTCCTTCCTGCAATGGACGAAAAGAGTTTCCTGGAAAAWRTTCTTTGAACCTATTCCTCTCCTGGAACAAAAAAATGTATCATCATTTTGCTGGCAACCAGTTATGACTTACAGCTTGTTGGGACATAAGAACAGATATATTTTTCCCAGGAAACCCGTCGGCTCCTCTTGATAATTCCTCGCTTCTCATACCACTGAACTATGCTTTTTCTTAAAAAAATAAATATTATTCGAGAAGTCTTCCATTTGAAATGATGAAAAAAGGCTTTGGCTAGTTTCTAAACGTAGAGAATATAGCTGATTTGGCACTTGCTCCGCTTGTCTCCGCAGCTTGACTGCAACTGCGAGAATGTCATTGAAATCTTAGAGGCACATACTCTATATAGTAGCTTCTCGAGAAACCCTTTGAAACTGTGCAATGCCAGAGAACTTTGAACTGTGTAACAAAGTTGAGATCTTCTCAGCAAGCAATTTCGACACTCTGTTACAAAGGGCCAGTTGACGATAAAATTGCACAGTATTCACGACTTTCAAAAATGGCGCGATAAGTGTCACGGTCGCCGACCAAGTCGCTGGGGACGAAGCACCTAAACGAGTCTCAAAGGCTATCCTCCGTGTAGTAAGCTTCGGTGGCGTCCTGCAAGTGTGCTTTGTCAAATAACATACCAATACATCTTTCAAACTTTTGGACACTACATACATGCGATCATCGTAGTGATATCTAGATGGAAAGGCTTTGACTGAGTTCTCGTTTCCATGATTCGTCACTAGTCCCCCGATATTGGCGGTCGTGAACTACCGTATATATCACAGCCTTAGAAATGTTTTCATGCTACCGTGTCTTAGGGTCTGATTATATGAGGMGGGCTGGCCCGGTTGACCGAGATGTCCCGGTTTGCCCAGATCTCGGTTTGTCTTCAAATACAAAAGATTCCGGCTGTGCGATTACATGGAAAGCGAGCCAGCCCGGTTTGCCGAGATCTCGGAATTCCACAACCGGGATCCCGGCAGACCGGGCTGAAAATTTCCCATATAATTAAAATTCAAGCGGGCTGGCACGCTTTAGTGCGCCCGCTGTCCATAAGTGTGTTAGCTGTTTTGCGTACAACACATGAGTGCAAGGACGTCACTCGTCGTAGAGGGGTTTTGGCTTTATGGACAAGAAATTTAAAACAAATTCTAGGATTCGATTTCGAGTTAAGACAGTCAGAGTCTGTTTGTCTCAAAAGAGCTACCATGCACTAAAGACATACCTTTTGCTCCATACCATTAACTCCCTAATGAATTGGTGTGCAGTGCCGAAACTCTGCATGAACGTAGCAATATGATAGGGAAGTTCTTTTCCAGAGATCGGTCAATATACATTTGATACAAAGAAAATGTGAATTTTTGATTTTGTATACGCTATTTTTCTTTGAAAATTCTTGCTCCAGGTTAAGTACCGCATGATGTTATCTTTCCTCGATGAGTTCCGACCAAACTTTGGTAATAGTTAGGCAATACCTCTAATATTATATCCCTGAGATATCGCGGAAAAAATAGGCTTAATTTGTTTGAAATAGCTGTAAAAGCGTTTTCCTGGATTTCGCCATAAAACGCATAAAGTAAATCAGATTTTCCAAAAATTTACTCAATATGAATTTGAATCCCTTGTTAATCATGTCAGTAGTAAAATATTATTACAATCTGATCAACTTAAATTACTTTTTAAATTACTTTTTGACCTGTTTCTTTCGTCCCGGTCGGTGTTCTAAACAACTGTATCCAGATACCTTAATTGATTCAGCTGGGGTAGCCTGGCTAATCTTGTCTCATATAATTGCGACATGGGATGAATAAATAATGATCTCGGCAAACCGAGCCAGCCCGCTTCATATAATCAGGCCCCTAAGTGATAATAGCAAGTGTGACTTTATATGAACTAACTTGCSTACACTTCTTGTTTTAGAATATAATAGAAAATGTTTTAATGGAAAGTGGTTACTACGATATGTCACCAAGTGCAAGGTTAGTCTACAGAATACAAAGACCTTGTCCTCCTTSCKTCCTCCCYCTTTTYCCCCYTTTCTCKYCCCCAACTGAACAAAAATGCTAAGATAAAATAAGAACATGCAGCTTTCTGTTAATAGTTGATTTTAGTACCCTGGATATATTTGTGTTTTTAAAATGTTGTACTTTGGCATATTAACTTATAAAGACACGAAAACTCCTTTTGAACGGCGATAGAACGACCAGCAATGCATTTCGGTCTTACACTATCTTYAGTGTTCAACKTTTTCTGAAATATTCGTATGCGCGCGTACCGCATTAATCTAAAGCGTAAATTTAGAGTATGTACTTCCTTCGATGTACACTACTTAGCTATGTACACTAATGTCATATTTGTAACTTTTTGTAGAAATCGTTCAGTACCATTGGGTCCTATAGGATCATCGTCAAGTGCTCCTTCTAAAAGAGGGAGTTTATTATAGTATTAGTGTAYAGAATATAAATTATAGAATTTAAATTAATATATATTTAGAATATGAAAAATTCCAACGCTTTCGTGATTCATCCGTACTGAATATAATGAATTATCATGCAACCGGAAGTCAAACATCTCCTCGTGCTGGCAAACTAAATTATCTACACGAGTCCGCTTTCTTTAWAGGCATTGTTTACACTTGCTGTCGAAGCACGGTACCCCGGTCCTGACACTAGTCTGACCATAGACCYAATCTGCTAACGCGTTGCTATGTACTACCCAATTCGAATCCTGTGGGAAAAAGAACTTTTGTTGTTTAAGAATTCAACTGTGAAATGAAAATACAATGAACAATGAAACTTACTCCCGGGTGGTTTGAATTGGGTTGAAGACGCGTTAGCCGATAAGGTCTAGAGTTTGCATTTTTGCTGGTACATGCGCAGTGCCTGGACTTTGGCCTGGGCACCCGAGTACAATGTCCAGACCTTGTATCAGGACTCTTCACCCGTCTTGGACACGATCTCTTTGTGTACAATGTGTGAACAATGCCTTACTCGTCTCCTACTTTTTATGAAGATTATTGCCGGATTTCAAACCGTGGGGGACTGGACAAAATCCCCTAATTGGATAATCATGAAATTTTAGAATATTTGAAAAGCCGTAACTCGTTCACTATTGAACTGATTGACACTAGATTTTAGAATTTTGCATTKCTCAACAAGGGCTTYCTTACTATGTAAGTCTTACCTCAGACTATCTTACCTCGTGATTATCCAATTAGGAGATTTTGCCCAGTCCCCACTCGGTTTGAAATCYGGCAATAACAAAATTTTACTAAAMMAMMWTWAWYCMMCCYWAAARSC